AATGGACATGCTAAAATGAATGAGACCCACAAGGCCTCAACCCTACTCACTCAAAAAGCTATAGACAACTCAGGAAAGCTGAGAATGGGAGAGGTGGTCTTCTCCAGGGAAGAACACACCAAATGATTGTTCAGTGCCAAACAGTGAGCCCTGAGAAATACATACAAGTTACATTATATGGATTGAGCAAGTATTTAGGGACACGCACAGTAACAATCAATGAAAAAGGCGCCATGACTTGAAGGAGAGCGGGGAGGAGTATGTGGGAAGGTCTGAGGGAGGAAAGGGAAGGGGGAAATGTTATTATATTATAATCTCAAAAATTAAAACAAACATCCTCCTCCATATTTATGCCCACCATGGAACAATGTTTAAACACCCTTTCTGCTATGGTTCTGGAGCAAAGTACTAATTAAGGTTGCTCCGTAGAGATGACTGGAATTGTTCCAGACAGAATAAAAATCAATCGTGACATTCTTTGCACTCAGAGAGTCCCCAAGTATAAATTTAGTTTCTCATGGATTTCCCACAGCAACCAACTTTGATCAGTGGTGGAACAGGGCTTGCAAACTGAAGGCTCCCCAGGGTTGAGAGATGTGTTGAATGGGGTCTAGTGCTCTCATTTAAAAAATACAAAGTTGGAAAATAAAATGGATGTCTAAGCTGGCCAGCGTGTCCCATAAAGCATTTTGATCAAAGACACAGTTTCTGAAACACTGAGGAATGGCTGGGGAATCCATGGGGATGTGGGGGAGTTAGAGCGGCTAAAACCTGGTCCCTGCAGTCCCATAGGCAGACAGCAACGTCCTGACAGATGCTGCTTGGGGAAACTTAATGTTTCTTTAAGCATTCAATTATGGCTACACAAACACATATTTTAAGCCACCAGCAGATCCCTGCACAAATTAGGGATGCCAGAAGGCAAATCAAATAGATTCCCTGAAATGAGTATTTAATAAGAATCCAGCTCTGCTGTGTGAAGAACTGTCCTACCATGGAGGAGTCTGAGAAGGGTAAGGAGAGGACTCTGCCAGCACCAGCTTTAGATGATAGCTCTTGTGACGGAAGGGGCCAAGGCCACCCTAGTTCAGTTTTAATTGCCGAGAACCTTTTTAATCATAACAGATTTCAGAATACCCAGGGGTTTGGTGCTCAACATGTAGGCTTTCTGGGAATTGCTAGGGGACGTTCAAAGGTCTTTAAAAATGGTTCTGCACTGTATGTCCTTTCATGACGGGTACCCATGTCGTCTTTCCTCTTTTCAAACATTCCTAAGTTTTGACACTTTTAAAATGAAGTTCTTTTCTGATTTATAAGGTGGTATTTTCTTATTGTAAAACAATAAAGCTTTCTTTTATAATCTCTGCATCCAGAGCTATGTGGCATGCATGTCATTTAAAAATAAAAACGGAACACCACGTACACTATTTCCTAACACGATATTTACATTGGGACATCATGGAATTTTTTTTTCAATGGTAAAGTTCTTCATTATTTTAATCATCTCCTGCCAATATAATTTTCAGGGACAGACTCAGCAGTGAATGGGCTTTGAACCTGGGGCTAATTCCTAGTCTGTAACAGGCTGGCCATCTGATTGGTCAGGCCCTCTAGTGTCCTGAGTGTTAAATATTTAAATGACCTGTTCTTATTTCTTACAGCTTCATTTGACTAAACTTTCTAAATTGGATTTCCTGGGCCAAAGGCTATAGAAATTAAAATTTAATTATAAGGTGTATGATTAATTACCTTTTGTGTCTGACAGCATGAGGAGAATCATAACATTTTTACCCTACTCACAAAATTGTACATTTTGGGGTCTTCCTTGCTTCATTTTTAATAGACGTGTAACTTTCTTCTAAAAAGGTCACACTGAATATTCGGGCAAAAATATCATTAAAAGAGTAATATCGGAACGTTCTAATTGTGAAAGCATTACTTTTAACTGAAGGTGATCTTTAAAGTTGGCACAGGTGGGCACTGAGGATGGAGTTGAGTAGGGAATGTTTGCTTAGTACACACAAGGCCCTGGCTTGGTTACTAGCACTGCAAAAAATAAAATTGCTACAACTAGCAATCAGTAAATCAAAGCTACAGTGTCTAGAGGCATAGACTATGTCCTCACCATGCATTTTAAATTTAAATTTATTATTATATTTTTAAAATTAAGGTCCCTCCCTCTTTGGCCAGGACTGGCCTAAAAACTCCCTATTCAGCCCATACTGGCCTTGAACTTATGGGAATCTTCTGCTTCAGCCTCCTAAGTGCTGAGATTACAATATGCACCACCATGCTCAGGTAATCTATATGCTTCCTTAAAAAAAATAGATTTATTTTTATTTTATGTGTATGGGTGCTTGGCCTGCATGCATGTCTGTGTGAGTGCAGAGCCCATGGAGGCTGGAAGAGGGTTCTGAATCCCCTGGAACTGCAGTTACAGACAGTAGGGAGCTGCCACATGGGTGCTGGGAGCAGAACCCAGGTCCTGCCCCAAGTGCTCTCAACCTCTGAGCCACCTCTCCAGTCCCGTAATCCACAAACTTTAAAAATGCAGGCTGACAAAGAGATTAGGAAGAAAGAAAGAAGTGGAGAAGAGAGAGATTCACGTTTCTAGCTTTTCTAATTCTGAGGTTATCTTAGGAAAGTCCTAAAGGGTTGGACAGGAATAAATTAGGGCACCTTTGAGATGATTTTCCACACAAATTATCCCTCGTCTGGTTGTCGGCCTGCCTTATGCTATCTGCAGTAACAGAGGGGGAGTCACCTCCAGAGGGGGCCATGAGCAGAGCGGTTAAGCCACTTTCCAAACCCAGAGAACCAGATGGGACCAAGACAGCGTTTTACGTGGAAGGGCACGTCAATAATGATGCTAAGCGAAGTGACAGTACATAGGATTGTACAAAGACCGTGGTGTCAGCTAGGGACCACCAAAGCAAAGCCATGTTTATAAGACAAAAATCCACCTTTGCACTCGCCCCGTCACCCAGGGCTTACACGTTGGTTTCTTCTGTTGTCGCTCTTGGTTTCAACCCCTCTGCAGTGTTCTCTTTCCTGTTCTGGAACAGACTCCGTGCACTAAAGATGGAGAGGATTTCACAAGGTCTTTCCACTCTCTCACCTGTAACCCTAAGACCGTGTGCAAACTCAGGGTCACAGCCTCCCTGTGCTGGGCAACATGTTCCTCCAACAGCTAGATACCCAGAGCACCCGCCACACAGACATTTCTAAAGCCCACTGCCAATCATAACAACCCATAGAGGACACATGACCCCACGGATGTCCTTATGAGATTTTTGTTTGTTTTTCCTGTGTCTTTCAGAGAGCATCTAGAATACCAGCTTTTGACCAAATATTTGACAAGAAGCATCTCAGGGAAGAAGGTTTACTTGATTGACAGCTGGAGAGCATAGTCCATCATGGTGGAGAAGGCATGTTGGCCAGGGGGTGAGGCAGCAGGTCACAGTGCACCCACTATCAAGAGCAGAGAGTGGACAAGTGAGTCTGGCTATAGAGTCTCAGGGACTGCCCCTAGCGACCCACGTTCCCCAGAGAAGCTCCACCTTCTTAAGGTTTCACAACCTTCCAAACCAGTACTGCCATTTGAGAGCTGAGTGTCCAAGCACAGGAGGACAGTTCACCTTCTAACTACATCCCCTAGTTACCTCGATGGAGATATTTTCAAAGTCATATACATGCAGCAAGGGGAAAAAGTGAATTTCCCACAACACTCTTCCATGAACAGAAGTAGGGGGCTGAGGAGACTGCTCAGTGGTTATAGTTCTTGCTACATAAATATGATGACTTAAATTCGGATCCCCAGCATCCACACAAAAGCCAACATCTACAATCCTGGCACTGGGAAACAAAGACAAGAGGACCCTAGAGGCTTTCCCAGGGGAAACTTAGTTGTTTAGCTCCACATTCAGTGAGAGACCCTGTCTCAAACAGCACAATGGAGAGAGCAATTGAGGAAGTCAGCCTCTGGCTTACACACATAAATACACATCAATATGCACACACATACACCCTGATTAATTACAATGTCTAGAAATTTCTTTAAAATATTTACTTTCTGAAGACAGGTACATAAAAGCAATATAATTTTCTGCTCAGAACCCCAAGTATTCAATCTGTGTGCCCGAATCTCTATTTTCAAGTCACTGGAGACAAGAAAAGCTAAAACATATCAGATATTCACTGTTTTCCAAGCCTTTGATCCACTCGGTGGTGAAGGGTAGATATGTAAGAAGGAACACAAAGTGGCAGGTTGCAGATCCCGGGGAGCAGGCTGTGTCATTTTACACGGACTGACTTCAAGTACTCTGTGGCCTTAGATGCCGACTGTCGGGACAGTCTCTTCCATCCGATTTTCTTAGGCACAAGCTCAAGCTCTGATGTGATGAACAGCCTGATCTGTTCACACGAAGACTGGCTCTGGTCTCTGTGACTGCATGTCCCTGGTGGACGTCTTCCCTCCTCTCTCTGTCAGCAACCCCCCTACATCTCACTGAAGAGTGAGGAAGAGAAGCTAGCTCTCCTGCAAGGGAAAAGCTTAAAGCTCTCCTGCTTTAAGCCAGGTGGGACCTGGCAAATAGAATTATTCTTTTAAACGCATACTGCTCGCTGGAAGACCTCATTAGCTAAAGAAAGAATTAAATAGATAAGAAAAGCCCTTTGTAACTGTGGTACTTGTGGGAGGGCAGGGATGGGGTGGGGGTAAAGGAGTCTTGAATAGGAGTTCCCAGTAGACACCATTTCTCCTGAGAAGCCACACACAAAAACATAATGATACCCACGCTCTCAAAACAGCAAGCAAAACAAAAAACAGCACACTGTTTTCTGGGAATTTATAGTTTTTCCCTTAAAGAGCCAAAATTGTCCGGGAGAAGCTTGTGAGGTCAAGTACGTTCTGATGGTGACACAAATTACAGAACAGTTGTCAGTGAATGTCGTCCCAACCTTCTCCTGTCGCTTTGTGAGCAAGAATGAAGTGGACTTACTCATTCCTGTCCAGACTTAGGATCAGTTCTCGGCTCTCCAGCTGCAGTCGCACCATCAGCACATCTGGGTGATTCTGAAAGATAAGCAGGAAGGGTTAGCTAGAACGCAATGGCTTTGCCTTGCCAATATCCTGATGTTCTACATCAGTATAGTCAGTGGAGAGGAAGGAGGGGGCTGTTGAGATTGTTTGGAGGAAGAGGAAGGGGGAGGGGAAGAGGCGAGAGAAAGAGATTGATTTTCTTCTTGGGGACTTTCTTTGACTTCAAGTACTGAGGACCAGAGTGACAGAATTGGAATATGGGATTCCTGGCCCTGATGTGGCCTTTATACTCTTTTCATCTGGCTATTCCTCCTTTGGACTCTTCCCTCTGATCATAACCCTGCCCACCCCATCCACCCTTTCCTTGATCTTCCCCAACTGCACCAAGGGTACCTCTATTCCTTACTTGCTCATGGTAGAAAAACCTGAAGCCATCCCCCAGGCTCCCTGGCCCTCACTCGCCCCCTCTATTGAATGTATGAACAGTTCCACAGAGATGCTCTTTAAAGCACCTCTCCTGTTGTTAAGGCCCCCTCCCATCCTTCCCTCCAGCCCTTCCCTGTTCAACCCACAGGCAACACTCCTCAACACGTGCCTTCCTCCTATAAACTCTTCTAATCCAGTTCTCCTGGGGCCTGCCATTCCTTTCCTCCTGTCCACTCTCCAACAGTGGGAGGACACTTAAAACTCCAGCCTTACTTGTACCTCTTCCTACCGCACTGAGAAGATACCGGCATTTGAACTTGCCTATGGTTCCCCATGTCCTCTCCCTGGCAGCCCTTCACTTGCTTCAACACATACCCACACCGCCCTCTTTCCCTCCTTACCTGGCTCTAGTTCCCCATTGCACCTGTCTTGCTGCTCTGAGAATTTGCACACGCTGGCTTCTCTACCTGGGACGCTTTTCCTGCCTACTGGAATCAGGCTCAAAGTCAGCTATTAGAAGAAGCATGACCTCACCACCAGTCTCCCGCTGCTCTGGCCTTCCCCCCATGAAAGGAGGGGGCCTCATACTACTTGTGATCAGCATGTTGGTTTATGCTTCATTATTATGTCCACAGGGGTGCTGGATAAATAACAGATGGGGAGTGAAGGAAGAAAGCCATCCATGCTAGGGAAAGAGCTCTGCAGACATCTCTTCCTCTCGTTCTCCAGCCTTCCCTCCCCTGCTTCCCTCCCCTAACCCATTTACCCACACATCAGTGGATGCAGCCCAGTCCTGCAGAGGGTGCTGCCCACAGTTAGGGTGGAGCTTCCTACCTCTGTGAACCCCACCTAGACAATCTCTCACAGATATGCCCAGACACTTGTCTCCAAGGTGATTCTAGGTCTTACCAAGTTGACAACCAGTTCAAACCACCATAGCATATTAGGAGAGGTCTGGTACGTTAAAAAAAAAAATCCAGTAGAGGAAAAGAAGAGAGAGAGATACTTTTATTCCAATCCACTCACTCCCTGGACATTTTAGTTTAAAAGCATGCTTACATCCATTTTCCTAATTGTTATTGACTGGAGACCATAAAGCCCACCATTCTTTTTTCTTAAGATGATATATTGATTGATCACCTAATGGAGCCACATCCTTTGTTGGATGTGCAAAGAACTATATTCACTGAACCAATCAATCAAATGCTAATCAATATGCCAAAGATATTTAGGCAGTAACTATAATTTTATCTTTTAAACCGAGGAAAGTACCTCTAAACAAATATGTAAAGAACACCAATGTACTTTTTTAAAACAATAAAATAATCATAGGGTACCTACCACGCAAATGAGAATATAGAGTATTCCCAGAATTGTAGAATGTCTGTTTTCTAGTTTGCTTTTCTGGTGCCATGATAAACACTGTTACCAAAGGAAACCTGGGAAGGAGAGGGCTTATTTGTCTTACAGTTATAGTCCATCATTGAGGGAAGACAAGGCTGGAACTGAAGCAGAGACCATGGAGGAATGCTACTGACAAGATTGTTTCTCCTGGCTTGCTCAGTTACCTTTATCATATAAAGGCCAGGTCTACCTGCATAGGCTGGTACTGTTTATAGTAGGCCCATGGTGTCTTTTGCATGTTTGTGCCCCAATCTTTTCTTATGAGGACACCTGCCTTGCTAGGTTAGGCCCTACCCTACCGATATGTTACAGATTGAATCTGAAATGTCCTTCACAGGCTCATGTTTTAAATGTGTGATTTCCCCATGGATGGCACTACTGGGATGTTGTGGCACCTAGGAAGTGGAGCCCCCTGGTGGAGGTGGGTCACTAAGTGCAGGCTCTTGAAGGCCATTTCTAGCTCCTGGTTCTGGCTTCACTTTCTGCTTCCTGGTCCTTCTAGTGGTGTGTTTCTACCTCCATAAGCTGGGCTGCCACAGTGTTCATTCCCTGCCATGATGACTGAAAATGTGAGCCAAAATTTTCTTACTATATTCTTTGAGGTATTTTGGCCACAGTGATGAAAAGGTCATTATTGTACCCTATGACCTCAGTTTTATCCAGGCAGTCTCTTAAAGGCCTCCAGATGTTCCACATTGCAAGGTTAGGAGTTAGGGCTTCAGTACATAGATCCGGCAGGGCCAGGGATGTGATTCAGTCTACAACATCCCTTCTTCATACTTACACCCCACTCATTCCTCACCAGAGGTAACCATTATTCTGAACCTACTAATCACTAATTAATATTAATTACATCTTGATTTCCTTTATAGTTTATTCCCATTCTATCTACTTCTAAATAAAACTCTGGTTTTGCCCAGTTTTGAGCATTAGCCTCATACTCGACCCATTCTTCTATGACTCATCTAGTTTTGCTTCCTCTTGGACCTGTAGATTCTTATGTACAGGGCTTGCTTGCTCCGTGTGTTGTTCATGCTCACAGATTTACAAAATTCTACTGTATGAACAATTGCTGTATCTACAGTCATGTAAATAGATGCTGAGTTTATTGTTCCCACCACCTCACTGTGGGTGACTTTACACATCTGTGTCATGCTTGAAACTGAATAGGTTCCATGGGTGGTGAGATCTGTCTATCTGCCTTCACTGGGGATTTATACACTTTCTAATCTATTAATGAATCACATGCCCTCAGTTACTGGATATGTGTTTCTGATACTCCATGTCTTTATGGATATCTGACCATTTTTTTTAAAGTCAGGGAAGAAACATTGTTAAATATATAAGTGCGTCTTGTTAGGCTTTATTTGTTTTAAAATTTTTACATTTATTTGTTTGTTGGGACACACATGTGGAGGTCAGAGGACAGCTTACCAGAGCTGGTTCTCACCTTCCATCACACGGATTCTAGGTCTTGAACTCAGGTCCTCTGGCTTAGAGGCAAGTGCCATTATCTGATGACCCATTCACAGCCTGAGGCTTTAGTTTATATCTCCAGCATTAGTGATAGGCAGAGAATTTTTGGCTTTTACAGCATGTGATATTGTTCTCTATGAAATTCCAACTCATGCTTCCTACCCCTGAGCCACATCCCCAGGCCTTTACATATCTGTCAGTGGCAGATTTTTACCATGTAGTGTGTGCTCTGGACGTTTGCTTGCTAATAGCAATTTTCTACTGGAAAACAAAAGAGCAGTAATTCACAGACAGAAATTACTATTCCTTCGTTCCTCCCTCTCACAGCGCACCCTGGCCTTGAAGCTGAGGCCATGTGACAGTGGCTTGGTACAGGCTTAGCAGGAGCAGAGCATCACCCTCAATAGCCCTGTCCATTCACCTCACAGCCTTGAGGTCATCCTTTCTAAGGGACCCATTCGGAGGCAAAGCCATGCATCTGAACCATCCATGCTGGAAGGTCAGGGGGGAATCTCAGTTTTCAGGCATAACAACAATATTAAAATACTGCATTCAAGGGAACTCGGGAATAACCAAGTCCCTCTCCAGCACTAAATAAATGCTTCAGACTGCAGCCTTGGCATTCATGGGGCACAAGGGAGGCATTTATTGCTATGAATATTTAGAGGCATCTTGATTACCACTTTAATATTAGCACGTTAGCTCTACAGCCTGCAAGATGTAACACCGTGGAATGTGGAGAAGACAAAACTGAATGAAACAGCACAGTGAGGACTTAAGGCTCCATAGCACCATCACGGGAGGCCCTGGCTCAGGCCTATTGGTTATTATGTAGGTGATGGTGATTTTTATCCATGCGTTGGTGATCTTCATTTTTGCAGTGGAAAATTGGTGTTAGCAAGCCATGTGTCCAGCTGTGAACAGAGCACAAACTCTCCACAGTAAAAGCTCCTTTTGGTGGATACATAAGGGCCTGGGATTGCTGCTCAGGGGTAGAGTACTTGTCTAGCGTGTATAAGGCCCTGAGTTAGATACCTACCAACACACACACACACACACACACACACACACACACACACACACACACACACACACACATATGAAATGAGGTTTTGTTTTTGTTTTTATTTTTAACTTTCTAATACTGGGTTCATTAATTATACTGGGAAATCCCTCTCACATCATTTTGTGGCCTACGACACACTATGGCTTTTCAGCTCACTTCTTCCTCTGGAGAGTGTATGTGTATGTGTATGTGTATGTGTAGGTGTAGGTGTAGGTGTAGGTGTAGGTGTAGGTGTAGGTGTAGGTGTAGGTGTAGGTGTAGGTGTAGGTGTAGGTGTAGGTGTAGGTGTAGGTGTAGGTGTATGTGTATGTGTATGTCAGAGAAAGTAAAATCCTACCCTCCTCTGGCCCAGGTAGGGCTTTAGTTCCTCTTGACACGCCCACCCTGCCCCAGTTCTTGATCCACTGAAGTTTCTGATTATGGAATTAATGAACACTTACATTTGTAACAAATAATTGAGATTTTTATAGATTTAGGCAGTGTTCTAGAGTCTAATGTTAAAATGTCCTCCCTAGTTTCTCTCTGTGTGGCCCGTTGGCCATTGGCCTGGTCATGATCACCTTAGCAAACCTGTGTACTCTCTGCCTGGCTCTGCCTCTTCTAGTACATACATTCATTTGTGTTTTCATTTATTTTTTAATGGGGCACTGCTAGAGAGAGA